TCAGCTGTGGGGTATCTTGTACTTTTGGGCACTCAAAACACGAAGGAGCAGAAGTGGTCTCACAACAGATACTGCTATTTGGCAAGACTGATACTGTGCTGGTGAAACACATTAGAATGTGGTTACTATTGGCAATACTAACCAGTTTTAGGGATAAAGGTTCTTCTGTTCATGTGAAGTAAACCTAAATGAAATGGGTGAGGGAGAGACTCCACTGCAAAGGCAATGCGACCACATAGGATTTGTGCACGCTGCAAAATGAAGAGACTCAAAGTCTAGGACACTTACCCTGGCCTCACTTCTTTGCTAAGTGATATAGCTGGTACTGAATTAGCTCACCTTTGGGGCTAACCTCCCCGCCATGTACTAGTTATCTGCTTTGGTCTGCATCCCTCTTTCAAACCACTAAAAGCTTACCTGCATTTGATCGTTTCTTTGGATTTTTGAGACTTCGGCACCTGCCACTCATGGAGCTGCTGTTCTCACTCATGGAGTCTTGTGCTGAAGAGCCACTCCCCGTCGCCTCACTGTCCCTCATCATGCTCTCATAGCCGCTGCTCCCCCCGCTGTGATAGAAGAGGGCTGTTTTCCCCATGGCAGGGGGCAGCTCCCCGCTCAGGACACTGCTGTTGTCACTCCCGTGGCCACTGCTGCAGCGGTGAGGCTTCCGAGGAGGGGTGATCTTGCTGTAAGGTGAAGGCAGTATGTGAACAGCCGGCTTCTCATCTCCAGGAAGGCCCCCACGCTCCTCTGCCTCTGGGCTTCCCCGCAGCTGTAAGCCTCTGGCACTGACACTCCCTTGGAGCAGCTCTGAAATCCGCCCGTTGACAGCCCGAAGGGGCAATTTAGAAGCGAGGCTGGAGCCCCGGTTTCTGCTGAGGGACTGCATTGACCAGGACATGTTCTTCCCACTTGGAGGCAAACTGGAGCTCTGCCCTACGGACTGAGGCAGTGACTTGGTTGAGAAGCTGAGAGTTTTGGTGGCAGAGGCGGATAGGCTGCGGGCCTTAGGACTTGCCAGCAGGAGTTTGCTGACAGCAGAGATCTTTGACTGGCTGGCCTTTGGAGAGGCACCTGCCGACTGGGAGAGGCCTGAGTTGGTGGGTGAGGACATGACGCTACGGCTGAGGCTCCTCCCGGTGCGAGGCATGGTGGTGTCTTTGCCAGGGCTCATTTTAGAGCTCACAGAGGACAGGCTTTCTGCTCTTTCCAGTGACAAACACTCATAGTGGCTTCCTGTGGACCTCCCAAGGGAGTTGGTCCTGCTGGCGAGCTGCTCCAATTTGGCACTGAAGAGCTTGCTGCTGCTGTTGCCACAGTTGCTGTCAATACCAGGGACTTTCTGTTTGGCATTCAGCTCCTCAGGGAAGCTAGCCAAGAAGGACCCAGGCTGGCTGGAAGGACTGCTTGTGGTGCTGCTGGCTGCACTGTGCTGGGGGCTGGCTCTGTTCTTCTGATCCAAGCTTGACTTTCTGACTGGTGGCAGAGGAGGGGTCCCTTTGGGACGAGTGAGAACACAGTGTTTGGGAGAGGCCATTTTCCTGTCAAGGCTAGCCTTAGAAAATTGGGGGAGGGCAGGAGAGCCGCCTCCACTGCTGTCAGTGGCAGTAGGATGGAGGTGACTGTCAGGCTCCTCCAGCTTGCTTGCCTTCGGGAGCCCTCTAGGGAGGCTACCATTCTTCAAGCTGTCACTGGAATGAACAGGGCTTTGGGTTGCTGAGCCAGACGCTGCCACCTCACACCCATCCACAATTCTCTTGAGACTGTCAGATCCTGGGGAGATAGAGGTGTCCCCACTGCTGCTGCTAAACCTGTCCACTGAGGACTGCTTTGTGCTGTGCTCAGCCTTGGCTGAAATTGTGGCCGTGTCAGGCCTTGGCCCATCACTGCTCCCAGAGCAGTCCTTTACATCTTCTTCTCTCTTCAACCAAGGATCTTCAAATTTGATATCCTTCTTAGCACTGGATTCTCTCCGGTCATGGGGATGAGCAACCTTTGAGTCTGCAGTTACTGCTGGAACAGCGGCATCAGAGTCTTGCGCTTTGAAGGGATTAACAGCAATACATGGATACACAGTAATGTTTGTCTTCATAGGGATGTAGCCTTCACAGCTGCTGAGGCTTGCAGTATTTTTGATTGTGACAGTAGTTTTCCCTAGAGCTGATATTTTACAGCCTTTGATGGGTGGCACTTTGCCGAAAGCTTCCTCCCCCATTTCTGACAGTATAAGCACGTTGTCAGTCACAGGCTTCTGTTTGTCACTTAAACAAATCATGCTGGAACTTTGTATGGTGCTCGCAAACTCAGAGACAGGGGGTTCTGCCATTGCTTCCCCGTGTCCGTAGCATGCCTGGGCTATGAAGCTGTGGCATGACTGTTCCCCATCGCTCCCTGTGCTCATTTCACTCAACCATGAGCTGATGGATGAACGTCTGCTGCCATCATCCTGGGGTTTATCATCCAGGCCCAACTTTGGAAGTGGAAGGAACTGTGTGATACTGACTTCAGACACAGGAGCTGCACTGGAGTAACATTCAAGATCTTCAGATATGCTGCTGATAATACTGACTGGCCTAGATCCAGAGGCCAAAGCTTGCACAGAGCAGTCACTATTAAAACTGATGATACTGGTTGGGCGCCCATTGTCAAGGACCCCACTAATGGTTAGCTCTTCTACAAGGGTGAACACCAGCTCATCCTCGCCATTCAGCTCTAATGGCTGCTGCACTGTCACCATGGTGGTGCTCAGAATCTCCTTCTTGGATTCTGTAGAAATGCTTTGATGCTGATCTTCATCAAGAATGGTCTCTTCAAAATCCCCATTGCTGGAGGACACCGACTTCTTCATGATCTGAGGGCTCATGCCTACAGGTGGGGTCCGGATTTCTGATTGCAATAAAGATTCATCAGACGTCATTCCAGTATGCTTACTCAGAGGAGCTGGTGGGGGAGTGGAGCTGGGCAGAACTCCTTTCTGTGTATAGACCTTGCACCTCTGGGAAGGAGAAGTTGGTGGCTTGTACTCAGATGTCTTTGAGAGGCTCGCAATGCCAAGCCGGGGCGAACCCATTGGCCGAGGTTTGCCTTCCACAAATCCACAGGTGTTGAGACCTTCTCTGCTGCTCTGCAAGCTGGTGCTGTGTGCTAACTGACAAGAGCTAAGCTCTTTACTAGAGCTGCCTGTTACACTCCTGGGAGAAGAAGGAGTTGAAACATTAGTAAGAGGTCCAGAAGGAACAGGGGAGTGATTTCTCTTAGTTCTGCTGGGTGTTGCATTTATATTTTCCTTGGCTACTCTATCAGGATACTGACATTCTGGCATCGAATCTTCCTTATCTGGTTCTGGTAAGTGGCTAAGCTCTGCCAGCTGGCTTGAGACAGAGCACTTTGACTTCTGGTCTGAGCTAAATTGAGCAGGCAGCTCTTCAAAGGGAAATTTGTCGGTCTCTTCACTGCCATCTATGCAATCCAGCCTCTCCTGGAGCTCTGCAAAGGTATTGCACTTCAGGCAGTCTCTTTCAGATGTGCTGGGCCCTGATTCACTAATTTCTTCCAACCTGCCCTCGTTTTTTGTCTTTTGCAGAGCAGGAACTATAGGAACAAAGTCAGGGGGACCCTCATTATCCGTCAGTTCCTTATCAGAAAGGGCAGTGCCATTGGGGCCAACGTAAATCACTGTGTCACATGACTGCTCACTGCTGGAAGAATAATCAGGATCACTTGATAAATGCAAAATAGGGAAGTCTGGGTCAACAGTGTTTCTAGAATGGAAAGGCCTCAGCTGGGTTGGCCTTCTCATCCTGCCCTCCTCACAGGAGCTCTCTCCTCCAGAAGAACTCGAAGTGTACTGCAGTAAGAGAGAGAGAGATCATGGCATTTCAGCACTGCAAACAGCTTTTTGCACAAAGCACATACACAAAAAGGTCACAGCCACACCTAAACTGGGAAATTAAAGTAAGGCACAGAACTCTGAATCTTCTTATGTACAGCCCTACAGAAAACACACAACAGTGTTCAGTGGAGAACCCAATGCCCCAAATCTGTGTCCCACTCAAAATCACGAGACTTCAGAAAAAAAATGTACTGAACAAATGGATTTGGATCTCCCCCTTAATTGAGCCCAGCCAAAGAAATCAGATATTTGGCGAAGGCTTTGCTGATTTTGTGTGTGTGTGTGTGTGTGTGCTATGTGAAGAGGAAAGAGAAAACTCATTACACAGGGCACAGAAAATAAAGGAAATCCCCATTTGATTATACTACCAGTGGACGGAATTGTATAATGTGCACTCAGAGGTCTCTGGAGACTGCTGTGATGGTGTGCAGACTGAATCCCTTCCCTTGCCTCTCTTCGAAACAGTGACAAAAAAGATTTTGTCAATCTATAGGCACTCATTGTACCCAATTCACACCATAAACTGTACAGAAGTAACCAGAACTCTAAAACATGAAAGTGGATACAGCCCATCCTCACTCCAGTTCTTGGAAAATCTATCATCCATATTTAGAAGCAGTGGGAATAACAGGATCATCAGTACTGGCAATGGACACACTGCTTTGCATTTATTTTGTAGGAGCTCTCTCTGAGCAGCACAGAGAATCTAATTCTTAATTAATCCAAATTTTATTTAACTTTACAGCAGTCTCACTCCTTATTATTTCATTAGCACTAAAAGCATAACTGAAAACAAATTCTCTCTGACAGCTATGCCATTAAATAAGGCCAGCTTACAAACCTGCTATAGCAGATGTCTGAACACATTCCTCTGTATCTGAAGCTGAAGCACTTACTCCTCCTAGTCTCTGTTGTGTGCTGTAAACTACTTGTCTAGGACAAGATACATACAACCCACACGCTTTGGAATCGATTACTGATTTTGTTACACACTGCTCTGTTAAGGATCATTCAGGATCATTCAGGGTCCTTCTTCCTCCCTCCTCCACCATTACAAGAAGGGAGTTATACACTGTCTTACCTTAGTTTTCTTTTTCTTCATCCTGAGGACCCTTGATGCAATCTGGATGGTGGACAGCGTCTCAGCGTAGTTCCCTGCGGCAGCTGAAATGTGAGCTATCATTGTGGTACGGCAGTTCATGTTCCCCAAGGACTCCCGAAGCAACATGGTGAGCTTGCTGTCCCTGTAAAATAAAATGAATTAAGGCTACATAAGTGAGCAAGGTTTAGCTTTGACCACTGTGATGCTGATTTTTTTCTCTTTTCAATGGCATCATAATTAGTATCCCTCCTTAGGTTTGCATTCTGTTATTTCTGCAGCTAAGCATGAAAAAAAAACCCTGGACTACAATTTAAACAACTTTCCTCTTCCCAGTTCCCCCTTTCTGTCTTCTTCTGGCCTCAGTTCTTCTGTACTGTTACCGATGCCAATACAGAAATGCAGACCAGTGTTGGAGACTTAACTGTGAAGGAGCCACTGCAGCAAACATCTGCTGCCCTTTTCCAGTGCATAGTGTACAAGCAAACTTTGGCCCAGCTCTGAAGGACAAGAGGTAATGAATTAAATTAGAGAACTTAGATTTTTTTCTTGCCTTCTAGGGCACTGGGTAACTTAATAATAATAATAGTTAAATCACTGAAATTAATTTTGCCGGTTGTACCAGTGAAATACAAAACAATCAAGCCTTAAAACCTCGCACAATTGTTCTTTCGTATTAGATCTTTTCTTCCACTGAGACAGAAATCAAATTTTCTGTTCTTGCCATTTACTCTATTGTTCAGCATAGGATAGCATTTGAAATGCTGATGTTTTTCTGTGGGGGTGTCTGTGACTGGACTAAGAATATGAATTTTAACAGCACAATGATGCATATATCACTTCTGTGGTGATCAACTAATCCTGTAGTAAGAAATGCACCATATAATTTTTAAAGATAGCTTTAGCTACAAGGTATACAGGCCAACTGGAGGGTTAGTAGGGAAATGGCATCCTTTTTGAGAGAACTTTTCCTACATTAGTAGAGATTGTGGATGATAGTTACATATGGCTGAAAGCAAAGACAGCAACAGCCTGGCATTTACCTATTGCTGAAGAAATTTGTTTCACTGTTGTAATGACAGCAATACCTTCAGTGGCTGGGGATCAGATTTTTTGGTACTAATATCTAATAAAGACCAGTGGCGCTTGTTTGCCCTTAGTTGTCCACTTATCCTTTCCAGCTCCTGGGAGCTCTGCATAAAGCTGCAAGTGCTGGGAACTGAAGCTATGCCCACTGGATGGGACTGACAGATAAGCATAAAATTTCTCAAACCTCTCTTTTTAATTGAGTAGACAATAGCATTTGGGATTCATATTTTGATGCAACTAGCAATAAACCTGAGAAGCTCACAAATTTCTTGACATTTCCAGTACTTGCAATTTCAGCTAGGCTAGCAACACTGGAAGTAAAACATTTTTTGTTTCAGGATTTCTTCTTCCATCTGCTCCAATCACATTGAAGGCAACCTGGTGTCTTTGGGACACAAACAAACATCTACAGAATATACTGAGACAGTCTCACTCATTTCACTTGTGAACTAAGGCTGCTTTGAATCCACAGATCCAGAGTTAATAAGCTGCTGTATCTCAGGTTAGTGGCCCTCCTTTCCATCAAGGAATAATCAAGATGTCAAATTTTGTATGTCAGTTATTGCCACCCAATGCAGAGTTACAAAGAAATTATGAACATCTGCACAGAAATCAATAACAAGCCTCTCATTTGCTAGTGTTTCTATCATAGCAAAACATGAGATGACAGGGGAAAGGGCAAAAGAATACATTCTGAACATGCTGGTCTCCTGAGAATACATAACCCATGCAGCCAGCATCAGCAGACTGCAGCATGGTTCTCTTAGAGGTATACGTATTATGAATATAAAATAATCTCTGCCATCTGCCCTGTACCGAAATACACACTTGCAAGAAGAATGACAGAGGAAATACCTATCTATAATTCAAATGATCCTCTGACATATATTGATAGGAATGAAAGGACAGATTTGTTTAGGATTAAAGCCTGAAACCAAGCTGCAAATCAACCCAGCCAACGCTAATTTCTAATTTCAATTTGCTCATTCAGCAGAGTCTGCATCTTGACTACCAACTTCACTTTGCACCCAGACAAAATAACTGGCCTTTGTGTCACTATTTTACACTGAAAAATAAAATAAAGTTGAAGAAACTTGCTAAACAGATTTCTGTCAATTCTGGACATTGTCACAAAACAAGGTCACTTATTCACGGTTCATTGATCTCTCACAATAGCACTTACTAACTTCTAAAGGAAAGAAAAACCAAGGAGAACATAATAACAAAAATGTGTGGCTCAATTTTTAACTCACCCTATCTTCATCAAGTAAAATATTAGTAAAATATTTTGGATGTCTCAATGAAATTTGCTTGACAGAGACTGTGAGACACAAAGTAGATGCTTTGTTCTGATTGCTGACATGGCATTTCTGCCTGAAAAAAGAAAGGCTCAGAATTTTTTCATTAGGTGATTCATGAACTGGTATTTGCAAAAGCAGAATTTCTTGTGAAAGCAGGTTTTACAAAGAGAAGGTCTGCACTGGAAGACCTTTGAGAAGGAAGGTCTTTGTTGATCTGCTTGCTGTGCAAACTAAACTAAAACGCAGGAAGTTTTGAAGAAACTTACAGAAGGGCTGCTGCTCCAAGGTGCATGTTGCTCATTGTGTTAAGCAAAGGCTGGCTTGCAGAAGGTCACAGATTTCTCATATAGCAGCATAGTGAAATACACCAGTGTCTTTATGGAAGATGGGAGATCTTCAGGAACACTATGGCCCATTTCTATTCTGCTCCAAGAGCAATAAATTTGTATGCCAGAGCAGCACAATGGCCCCATTTTATATACCTGTCTTCATTTTAAATGTATCTCTATCCCACCACAAATGTTTTTATAGTATCAGAACTTTACTATAACCCGCCATGAATATACACAGAAAACAGTGAAGATGGGGTCAGAATACCACACTTCAGACTCCAAAGCCTGTATATCAGTCAATTCTGTAGCTTTTTCAGTACTTGAAAGTTGCCTCATTTTTCTAACTGCATCACGTGGTCTAGTAAAATACATTACCCTCACTTTAAAACAATTTCTTGCCTAACTCCTTCGATCATCATGGCTACAGCAACAGGTAAAATCCTAAAATAAGGTATGCAAAGCTCTATCTTTGGAAAAGTCCAGAGGGAGGAGGCATGGGGACAGGACACTAAACTCAGATGTCTTTAGGAAGTATGTCAGCAGGTATGGTATAGAGGATCCAGAAAGGAAGAACTGTGCAGATATCTAGGCAGAAAGTTCCAGTTCATTCCATGGAGTAGCAGCGCTCCACATGAAGAGGAGCTCTCTCTTCTTCATGCTTCTCCCTTACCTTCTCCTTATTTCCATCTTCTCAAATTACAGCAGCTACTGAAGGACTTGTAGTGCTATTTTCTGAATCTCTCAATAGCTAACCTAAGGAACCCTAGCAGGTATTAAACCTCCACAAAACCGAGATGTGGTGGTGCTGCAGTGAGCAGTGCTCTTTGTGTTTATTCTTCAGAGACTTCACCATGCAAACTGGAATCTGTTTAAGTTAGTCCTTTCACTTGCTCAGTAAGAAGGGAAAATGTACATCTTCATGCTCCTCATATATATCTGTGTTTTTCTTCCACACAAACCATTAATCATATCCAGATTCAAACAATACAGAACCTTACATTGAAGAATAAAATATTCAAGATCATAGAATCACAGAATGGTTTGGGTTGGAAGGGACCTTAAAGATCACCTACCTCCAACCCCCCTGACAAGAGCAGGGGCACCTTCCACTACACAGTTTGCTCAAAGCCCTGTCTAACCTGGCCTTGGACACTGCCAGGGATGGGGCAGCCACAGCTTCTCTGGGCAATCTGTGCCTCACCACACTCATAGTGAACCCTCATGGAAGATCATGATATGTTTCCTTGGAAATTGCATAAATCCCACTTGCATTAAGTCAAATTCTTGAATTTCATGACTGGATACTACTTTACCACTAGATCCCCGTCTCAATCACTGCAAGGATAAACAGTGTTCACTGAACAAGACATTATCCAGTCTGTAATTTAATCCTTGCCTTTTAATGTGCAGCCTTGTGCTTTATCTACTGTTAGGTCTACAGAAACTCAGCTCTGAATCCAGAATGACAGATTTTTTCCAAGGTTTGTGGGTTTGTTTTTTTTCCTGTGGTACTCATCAATGCAGTATCTGATGAAGGCCTTTGAGGAAATGTATATAAACCTCTGATAATACCTACAGCACTGAAGACTTCACTAAGCATAGGTGTTTGGTGTGAAGCACTGATCTTTCAGAGCACTGAGCATTACATAGTGTTTTATATTCAAAGTATAGTTAACTTTGACTTCTCTTCCAGAGAAAATGAGGCAGCTGTTTCTCAATCTGAGTACCCAGAAAACCAGGAACGTACAATTAGTAGCCACCTGAAAACGTTAGGAAAGCATTGTCAGAAACAATTCTGAAGGCAGCATGAGCTCCCCTCAGAATATCTCCATTCTCTTCCACAGCTCTCAGTCCCATTGTCCATATGTTTTCAAACTTCTGCTACAAATTAGGGAAGAAATTTATGGACAACCTCATTGCTGTACACAGCCCTGATTCATCTCTAAAGCAGGAAGCAGGTACTTTAGCTACCCTGAAAAGATAATAACTGGGGAGGTGAAAGAGGGGCAAATCCTGCAAAGACAATACAATATATAGCCCATACAGCCAAAGCAAGTTTGATAGGAGAACCCTGATTTTGACATTTCCTGCCCCTATAGTGATTGATTTCACAATCTGAATGCCATTATATGTATTTCATGTGGATTTGTGTTTACACTTCAATGAGACATCAGCAAGCCTGGAACCTTCCTATGTACTAAAAAGCCTCAGCTGCTGAACTAGCTGGCTAGTTGGCAGCAACAGCTGACTGCCACCTTTGGTATGGACTAGTAGAGAAGAAGGACATGACTCTCAATTTACCATGAGGTTTTGCTAGTATTTGCTGCTTGCAGAAAAACAGTAAGACTCAGGAGCATCACAATCCTTTCCCATGCCATAGGAGAGCTGTGCTCACATGTGCTCGCATCCTTTTTTGCCATGTTCTTCTCTCAGACAATCCTGCTGTCTTCTACCAGTGCCTATCCTGGGCTTTCCTCATCCGACTTTCTTGGAATCTCACAATATGATCCTCACACCTAACATCCTAAACACTTAGCTCCTTGCCTGAACCTTTTCATCCTGCTGTGGTCTAACCAGCTACACCAGTCTCCAGTATCACTGCTAGACGTTCTCCTAGCACTACTCTCCTCTTTTCTCATCTCTTGCTCCCACTAATGTCCTCCACTGTCACTGCCTGACCTCCAACGTCCTTCTCCCCACTCAAGTCCCCCACAGCTGCTCACTGATACCCAGCAGAGGAATCCCATAACCCTGCCGTAATTTGGCATGGCTGACTGCATCATGCTGCCTATATGAGGTGCAGACCAGGGTAAGGGGATACAGCATGGGCAGTGCCTTCCTCTGTCAGATCCTTCAGCTTTGTGAGAATCTGTGCAAGCAATGTGTTTGAAGTGAACTACATAGAAAGAGATAAATGGCAACTGCTTTTGTTTACAGCTGCAAAATAGAATACATGAATAGAAAAGGAAGCAATAAGAATACATATTATGCTCAGAAATTTGCAGGAGTTTTCATTGCCCAGCATCTCATTCTCTATATGGGAGAGACAAACACATGACTGTTCCACAAAAGGAGGGAATACTAGACAGGAAGATCCAGCTAAAATCTTGGAATGATTTTTCTGTGCAATTATTCAGCTAATACTATTTTATGCTTCGTTTTGAGGTCCCCCCCACCTTAATAAAAAATATTTTCTTTATCTTCTCTTTCTTCTCACCCACCTCCTATGAGGATTTTGGTTATTCTGTGACAACAGCAGCACCATCAGGAATAGAAATAATAAAATTCCACAAGGGATACGAGATTAAAACTAAGCTTTAGGACATGCAAGGGTGTGTGTTTGTGCTCTCTATTAATCATATACCTTAGTGTCTTCCTAGGCACTTGGCCAAAAGGAGAAAGTTGTCAACTCCCTCAAGGTGTTATTGTTACAGGATCAGATGATGTATGCCCTCAGGTGTCTTGTAATCTAATTATTTATAAAGTTATGTCAAAGGAAAAATCTCAGTAACTACAGCAGTTATTTTTGATCCTGAAGTCTTGACTCTTCTCCCTTGTGCTGATGTACTGCTTTATTCATAGTTATAAATGCTTGCATAACAAGGGAACCATATAAATACTCCATTTGGTTTTGGCTCTTATTGCATGGAAATAGTCTCTACAGAGGCAGCTTATAGCTTAAAAGGCACAAATCCAACAGCAGATGTTACAGGTGTGTAACAGCTGAGTTCATGATCAACCAGTTTAGCTTGCTTAGTTATTTCTCTCCTTTTTATTAAGAATTTCAATAGAAGGAGAGAGGAAATGGGAGCAATGCATGTAGACACAGTTAAAATGAGGCCAGGTGGAGTGATAAAGCCTTCGGTGGTTTAGCCATGTAAGCCTGGCTTTGTTTGCAGAACGAAGCAAGGCAGTTGAAGGAAGATGGGTAACGTGTTGGACCCAGCGAATCCTTCACCTGGTGAAATGAGGCATTGGGGAAATAATGAACTCATTCCAGGTGGAAGCTGACTAGCCTTAAAAGGAAAATTAAGTAAATCTCCACCACCACTGCAGTTAGTTATCTTGTATGAAGCATACCAACACAACCCAGAAAGCTGTGCTCGCTGTACAGGGGAAGGGGAACCCAGTTGAAAGGACTGCACTGAGGAGATACTGTGCTCAGGTTCATGTACTGGCAAAATCACATCCACATCTGGAAAGGATGTGACACTGCAGCAGTCAAGAGCAGGAGAAAAGTGTTGTTGCAGCCAACTATGGGATAATAGGAACTTATACTTAAATTCTAGTATTACGAAATGCCTATAAAATGTAGGGAGGGTTCCCTAAAATTCTTATCTTTTAAGAGTCTGTGTGCAAATCTCATACTGCAGAACAAGCCTTATGCTTGTGACAACACATGACCATGTGGCAGATGCACAAAATAGCATCTTTTGTTTCTTTTCAGCAAAGACAGAAAAAAAATTAATGCCAGAAGGAGTCTCAATAGTAGCAGCTACTCTGATTCCTTGAAACAGACTGAACATCACACCATAAAAGGGCTCATTCAAGAGTTATAGCTTTTGCATAAAAGTTGCTCCCAAAGCTCATGAAACTTAAATAGTCTACAAAACAGTCAAGGAGGACCCTGTTATCCAAAAATGACATAGAAGTGCCCCACTCTATGGAGGTCCCACTGAATGATGTCAGCAACTCAAGCTTATCCATACTAGACCTCACAATAATAATACCTTCCAGTATCTTCCAATATCTTCCATATCTTACATATTATCTTCCAATAAAGCAGTCACATAAGAGCTTCATTTTTACCTATGTATTAAAGAGTACATGGCAATAGCAAGCTAAAGACATAAACTGTTATTTACAGGTCAGTGTGTTACCTCAACGATTGCTCAGAAATCCAGGTATACTTGAAAGTCACAGAAAGTACAAGTGTTGGGGTGGGAGGGAGGAGGTGGTTGGCAGCACAGCTCTGCTGGAGACCAATGGTTTCAGAGAGAGGACTGCACTAAAAATGGACAAAATGATCTCTCTCCCATCTGTACGCCAACTCTCAGCACAGAGACAAACATCATTCACAGGCAAGAATTAAAGCGACGCAAACAAAGCTAATCAAAGATAATAAAAAAGAAAAAGGATCCTAGTGGTCTGTCTCATTAAAGTGCCAGCTCCTAATAAATTCTAGCTGAAAAACAGAAGCTCAATTAATACAGGGAGCTAATTAGGCTCAGCAACTTTATGTTGCATTTAGTGCCAGATTCCCCAAACCAGCAATGCCACTGCTTAAGAGGATGTGTGCAATAAATATGGTGATTTATAGGAAAAAAAAAAAAATCCCATAGTCAAACCAGCTAAAAATTTCCATTAACGATCCAGATTTTAAATAATTTAAGGACTCTGCATGTGGCCAGGCTCTGTGCTAACTTCTACCAAGTACACTCACTGAGGGAAGTAAAAAGCCTTCCCTCCCCACCCTGCCCCTCCTTTTTTGGCTCCCTTACTTGGAAGCATTACAGCAACCACAAGTTTGGCTCAACTTATCTCTACAAAGCCATTTGGTTGCTTTATATGAGTAGGCAACAGTCATATCTGCTATGGAAGAGCAACTGGAGCAGCTTAGGAGCTTGCTCACTATTTCCTTCAGCCTGCCTGCACCCTGAAAACACAGCGGGAGCATTGGGAAGGGAAAGGGTGGAGTGTGGCTAGCCAGTGCCTATGCCCACAGAGCAGCAATAGGAGAAAACACACAAGCAAGAAGCATGAGGAAACATCCCCTGCCAATCTGTTGGGGACATATTCTGGAAACCACTTTCACACCAGGTAAGAGCACAGCAAAGAGACCCAGCAAGGGCATTTCCAACACCCCTCCATAAGCAGGAAAAGCAGGATCCACTGCCCTTGTTCAGTGTCTTTGCTTGCAGTGCTGCTGCCCCAAGCTCCCTCCGCCTTCACAGAGTCAAGCAGTAGGTTGATTAAAGCAAGGCTCTCCTCTCTGCATTCAAGAGGCTAAGCAATGCGGCTGGTTTTTAGAAGGCCGCCTCAGCTCCCTGCAGCTCAGCAGCTGCCAGTGTCATTGGCTAAAAAGCCACCACCAGTGACAGTGCATACAAAGAAGCAGGGAAGCGGCCACCTTAACTCCCCTTTCAGTGCAAGCAAGCGTGTACCTACCAGACCGGCACGACTCTTGCGTTACCCACACAGCTAGGTTACCCTTTCAGCGGCCACACTGAATACACCACGGCAATTTGGAGTGGGACAGAAAAGCTACTCACTGCTGCACCATGCATTCCCACACTGCTCAGACAGAGGCAGCCTGCCCGGTGCACACAAGTGGCACCTGTGAGCCTGAGCAGCTAGCAACAGCGCTTTGCCCTTTGCCTGCAAGCAGTGCTCGATTCACAGGTAGTGAGAGTGAAATACCAGGATTATTTTCTCAAATGAAAATTAACTCAAATGTTTGCAATTGATCCATGAATATTCATGATCTTTTGGGAGGATTTCATAATTACTTCATTCTGGTTAGGCTCATATGATCTGCAGTAGCAACAGCAGTAGTTTACAGTCCTTCATAAAGATGCCAACAATTTGGCAGCATGACCTTCCCAGTTTCCTGTGCTGGAGAGCAGCTCTAGTTATCCTAATTGCAATCCCAAATGGAGTGGTACCTGAAAATAAATTGACTGCTGTTCAGTTTTAGAAAACACTCTACTTGGCACTGCTACAAGCGTAAAGAGATGACATCTCCAGAAAACTGGAAAGGTCACTCAGCAAAATACTTCTCATTTTGACAAGATTTTATGTGCCAACCTCCTAAAGCCTTCAGCCCACAGCATTATAGCAGAGGGTAGTGAAAGTACACACACTCCTATGTGGAAAGAAAAAAAAGGGAAAGAGAAGGCAGATTTTGGTTGTCATTAATATTATGAAAATGATACAATTCATCTATGCTACTCACTAGATGTATTCCCAAAGAAAGTTAGGTTTAAGAGTCCATACTGCCTGTGCACCTGGGCACAAGCTTGCCTCCTCACCTCCAGCAATAAACTTCTAGACTGTTGGCTAATTTGAAGAAACTTTGCAAAATAATATGGAAGCCTCAAAGATAGTAAGTCTCTATAAATGCTGTGAGAATTGATAGCTGTGTGGATGGAGAGAAATCCAATCTGTGCTCCCACAGATAAAAGACTGTAACTCCTCAAACTCCACTCTTGGCCACATCAGAAAAAGCACACATGTGAGAAATTCCCAACCACAGAGGAACTTCCATCCAGTATTTATACCCTTTTGGATGTTAAAATTAAGAGACAAATTGTTAGAAATGTATTTTGTTGATGCTGATGCTCTCAGAACTCTTCATTTAGATCAACAGATCAAAAAATATACACTCATATAAAAGTGGGTCTTGACTGTAAGCTGTCAAAACACAAAGTAAACCAGTGAAAATATTAAACTAGCAGCATTAAAGCAAAATAAACAGCCAGAAGCCTCAAGGCATGCTTCCATCTCTGGTAATCAATTTATTACCTCTTAAAGTTCTTCTTCACATAGAGCTCCAAACTCTGCTTCACAGAGAAGAATGAAACTGCTAAAAGCTGCTAAAAGAAGCAATCCCTATCCACTGGCAAGGAAGATGGACTTTGCAGGAACCAAGTGATCGGCAAACCTAAGGTGGGAATCAAGCAGGTGAAGTAAGCTACAAACCAGGGAATTTTTTTATGTCATCTGCCATTGATGAGCTAGCCTCAGTTGCTCAGCTCCAAACTATCTAGGAATTAAAAAAACATGTTACATAAGAATTCTGTATTGGCATGTACAGGTAATATGCACAGATCCTAGCAAATATGCATGCCTCTCCTTCAAAAAATCTGGGTCAGTAATAAGGTGGCTAAGTATGGACTTAGCTGTCTAAATTTCCACATACTTTCTCTTTTGAGAATCACAGAATCATAGAATGGTTAAAGTTGGAAGGCAGCTTAAACATCATCTAGTTCCAACCCCCTTGCCATGGGCAGGGACACCTTCCACTAGACCAGGTTACTCAAAGGCCCGTCCAATTCAGCCTTGAACTCTGCCAGGGATGGGGCAGCCACAGCTTCTCTGGGCAACCTGTTCCAGAGCCTTACTACTCTCACAGTAAAGAATCTCCTTCTAATATCTAATCTCAATCTCCCCTCTGTCAGTTTAAAGCCATTCCCCCTTGCCCTGTCACTACATGCCCTTGTCCCTCTCCAGATTTCTTGTAGGCCCCTTTAGGTACCAGGAGGCTTCTGTAAGGTTTCACCTGAGCCTTCTCTTCTTCAGGCTGAACAACTCTCAGCCGACCTTCACAGGAGAAGTGCTTCAGAGATATGAATAAAATAGTATCTTTTGAAGTCAAATATATGGCATTGAAGTTAAACTGTGGAATCACAGGCAGTTTTATGATGACATTTCTGGCAGCTTAGGGCCAAATCTACCAGCTGCTGCAAGGCAGTGAGAATTTTGTCATCTATAAACATAAGCACAAGAAAACTGAATGTTTGGTTGTTTTATCCCTGTCACACTCCATACTTTATTCACAGAGACTCCAAATAAAACTCAAGGGACCCCAGTCTCCGTACAAGTACAATGTACTGTAAGTAAAACTGGCCAAATCAATATATAAAGATTTTTAATGTATGTACATTTGCTATTTAAACCATTTGGAGATAGCCTGTATCAAATACATTTATCTTCATCTATGCAGCAATTTAAAATATTAATGATGCACATGCATTTTTCATGTTATCTGCAGTTTCACTTCTCCTTTTAATGGATTTGTCTATTTATTTTGCCCACTATAATACCATTAATTAGACAAGTTCCTCAGTAGGTTCTTATATCTCCGGTACTTCAGAGATCTCATAATAGCCTGTAACAGTAAAGGAAAGGAACTCTTTTAAACATGCCATTTAGTAGCTGTTACATAGCTTGCAGTTTTACCTGAGGCAACCAGATGATGCTTTAGGGTTTGATAGGTATCTATTATACCCAGAAAATCAGCTGTAAATTCAAGTATTTCCATGGTAATAGCTGCCTCTCCACAAGACTGGTAGTCAGAATAGATTTATGAGTGCCAGAATGCAATATACAGCTACTAATGTTTGTGTACATTTATTTTTAAATTATAAAAGGGTATCTATTAAAGGCTTAGCTGTTTAAAACCCAAGAAGCACTCAAATAAAATTTTAAAGAGAAGTTGAGCCAGTTTTTCATAAAAAGCTCCTTCAACCGTCTTCAAAAAGCCGCAAACCGGACTCATTTACAATGTGCCTGGAACGTCCCCTTCTGTTTACAAAGCTACTGTTGAAGCTCAGGAATTCCTGCAGCTGAAAATAGTTGAGGCTGCAAGAATATTTTGGCAAAGTACTCAGTCTAGTCTTGCACTCTCTCCTTGGCATCTGCACTCCTTTTCAGAGTGGCAAGCTGGAAGCCACCTACTCACCTATTTGCCCATGCCCTTTGGTTTCCATTACTCTCACTCCCTGTGGTTGGGAATGCGCCTGCCACATGTACAGACACCACTTACACTCTTTTTCATGCTCTCTCTATTGCCTAACTCAATTTGGGTATGCAAGCCAAACTCGTTTCATCTTCTCTCACATGACAAGCTATCCTGCTCCCCTTGTCAGCCTTTCTTGTACTTTTTTCAGTCTGAATTCATCCTTCATCTATATGGGTGACCAGAGCTGTACCCAGGAGAAGAATCACTAACCCCTTGGATAAGAGCATTACTATTTTTTCTGCTGTCACTCCCAATGTCTCCTCAGATTTCATTGCCTTCTTACTGTTACATCAGCTGTGGACACCTGTGATCATTAACCAATATGCCTAAATCAGCACACACACCCCACTTTCTTTCTAGTTGATGAGCTGATGAGAATTCAGTAGAAATTGTTAGCAGTTCATCAGGTCAAGCCCTTGCATTAGTGCCATTTTCATTACTGTAGTCCTAGATGTCCCACAGCTTCTCCTGTATGATGTTCTGATCTTCCTTTGTACAGATGATGGCTCTCAGCTTTGTGTACTATGATTAGCATGCTCCTGCTTTGTCTGCCAAGGCTGTTGATAATACACTAAATAAAATCTCTCTGAACCCTGGTCCTTGAAGAACTTCCCTGGTGGCCTTCCCTCTATTCTCATAGCTCCCACTTCAATGCTAGCTACTTCTGTCTCATCAGTCTTCCCGCCTGATGTACATATTACAGCTCCTTGTCTTCTTCAGCTTAACGAATCATTTCTCAGGGGACAACAATTCAGTTATTTACTCAGGTCTACACAGATTAAATTTACCACTGTTCTTTCACCCAGAAGTTGAGACATTAGATGCCTGCATAAAACAGAGGGTAAGGGTTGCATCCAGAAGGTTGTATCCAAATATATCACCATTTTTGAAGGCATGTTGAATTTAAATGCACAGCCAGCTGTTCCAGATGTCCATGTCTTGGGAACAGTCAAGATATTTCAAGGCTCACCCTCTGAGAGGGCAATACCTGTTGTCTGGATTTACTTTAAAGTGAGCTTTAACTCAGGGTTTGAAAATCCTTCAGGATTTGTTGCTGTTACATCTGAATGTTAATACTGGATTTTTGTTGTATCAGGACTTTCTTAACATCCCAGCGTTGACTTTCGCAGCTAATGCAGTAAGAAAACTTGATCACTTAATTCAGACAATCTAGCAGTGAACACATTTAAGCTCCTCTCTTCTCTCTATCCCTCCTCCTCCTCCTCTATACACACTGATGAGCAAATAATTTAAAGAGGAGTTTGTCTGCTGACTCTATGAATTTTACTCAGCAGGAAAATACATTTATCTAATTGCATTTCAAATGTAGAGGATCTGAATAAATAAACAAGTTGTTCTATGAATAGAGGAATTAACAAATACTAGTTTCCTGTGGGTTCACGTCCTGTGTTCCTGCATTTCCTACACTTCTGCTTGTCCCCTGTTCTGCATAGTTCCTGTGACCTCACTTGGCCATATCCCACCTAAACCATCTCTTTCAGCTGCAGCTCCTTCCTCTATCCTTGCTGGCTTGTGTGTGCTGGCTGGCCAACATTAGGCTCAGATGGCTGGCGAGCCAGCAGGCAATGGAGCAGGTAAATGCTTCAGAACTTCATGGCTCAGACTGCTTCTGCCATTCCTCTCCCAGTCCCAGGAGTCTTGCACAGACCTCAGATATCGGAAGGCCTATCCCTGTATTAAACCTGTTTGGAAACGGTCAATTAAATGGCCAATTAAAATATGTATTCAGATGACTAGCAATGAGATTGTGTGATCAGGTATGCCTCTGCCTCTCAGGAGGCGCCTGAAAATCTTTTAAAGCACGTATGTCAGAGCCAGTCCTGCTTGTGGATCTTGTCAGGCTTCACAGTTTTATAGTACAGCATTGTGCATAGCAGTCATTCTCACCACCAGCTACTGAGGACAGACAGGACACTTCCCATATTAGCATTATGAGAGTGATTAGAGCCACCTAATTATAGCTGTGCAACGACAAAATTCTCAGCTCACAGATGTCAAGTTAGCCAGGCTTGTAAGTCTTTCATATCCTATGACTTAGGTTATTACTGCTTTATAATTTTTCTGATCCATGTCATGATTTTATGTCAATTCTGCAGGAGGACAGCAGTTCTCAAATGAACATGGAGTAAATACAGTCAATAACAAATGGGTTATTACATGAGTTCAGGTCATTATTGCATTGTTAATATTCACCAGCAGTTTGGGTTTCATTTTTTTCATGTGTGATGTATGACATATTGAATACAATGTGAATGGCTTAAAGGCCTTGTTTTGTTTTCAAGGCCACTATGGTACCAGTTAAAAAGAAAAAAGTAATAATGATGCAGAAGGGACCAAACAAGTTTTGACAATACATGAATCTTCCCTCAGCACAGCTGAGTTGCATATAGTATAGCTAAGAGGTGTATTTGACCCCTACATTTATAATTAACCCTTAACTCATGGTATATAAAAAAAGCTTCAGTTCAGTGTTTTTGTTGCAGTGTAATTCCAAGAAACATCAATTAGCTATCAAATGCTGACAACTTGCACTTATCGCTGATTAGGGCTAGATATGAACTATAAACCTAGCACATTACCATAGTCCAACAGCTCGTTACCAGTCTAGCTTTGCTAGCTAATCTTTCCTACTAAGTTTTATTTAGGGACCTTCTGGCTAGCTCATCTGAAAATTACACGCTAATGATCTGAGCAAAATTGAGAGTTTTAAATGGTAACATGGGAGAAAAAATAATTCTGTTTGATCTCTTTATGTTATGATAGATGTCATTTAATCAATTAGCACAGCAGACCATACCATTGCATTTCAGACCTGACAAACACAAAAGAAAACAGAAAAGGGTGAGAGCTTCACTCATCTCTTGACCTTCTCCACCACATAAAAGGACATTAATATATAGCATCATGGAATGTTTAGGAGCAAAGTTACTGTGACAGCAGTCAAGATGCTTTCCCGTGGGTTTCCTACAACTCTACCATAGGGGACTGCCAAGGATGTGACTGCTGCTAGTAGAGGGCACACGTCAGAGACAGGGTCACAGCATGATGCAGTGTCCTATGGAGATGTCAGGCAGCAGGGTGGCCCAGCAGGCATCCTGGGGTGCTTGTTTACAGTTAAGCCTCCAGAAGGTTTAACATAGGGTGCTGGGTCTCCAGAATGCCCCAGAATCAGAAATGTGGCTTCCAGTTATGCCTGGCTCCTTCTGCCCACCTGCCTGAGATTATAAGAAAGTGTTTGAGAGACTGCAGCCAGAATTCAGATTCTTGAATAACCATGGACTAAAGATACTGCACCAGTGACAATGAGTGCTTCATAGTAATTTGCCACAACTCCATGATAAATAAAATTTACTTCCTAAATATACTGGAGGTAAAAAAGGAAAAGAACAGGATGTTTCATAATGTTACCACTTGTTTATGAGTGCAAAGGGTTAAAGATGGTAATATGTAGGTAGGAACAGGTGGGAAAATGCACCTGATCCACTTTCTTTAAAGCTTGTGTAAATTAAGGACATCATGGGATATAAAAGTTCTATATTTAATAATTAATAGAAACAGATTGAGAGCGATGACAGAAATATTTGAGAAGAAGCACAAGATCACATTTAGGGGCTATGTTTTTTCCTGCAATTTAACTGCACTGGAGTTTCTTTCCCGAAGGCTACAAGATTCACCCAGACATGTTGTGCCCTGTGTCTACTGGTTCCCACTCTGAATGAGTCAAAACCAGAGATGGTCAAAATGCACAGTAATAGCTTGAAAAAACAATTATATCTCTAAATCAACCCTCAAACACATCCACTGCTGGTCTACACTTGTGCAATTCAAAACTTGGATAATGGCAGAGCACAGTATGTTGAGCGAGTTCTTAACACTCCTCTTGCCCTGATCTTAAGACAGTAAGTGCATAGCATTTGATCTGCCAGAAGCTGGACCTTTTTCCTAAATACAGGAGTAGAGAGGTTTGGGTTTTTTTCTATTATGGGCAAAAGGAGCAAGAATCCCTCAGTCTCCCCTTCCTGGAACCTGCACAAGAGAAGTGAAGATTTGCTGCTCTCTGCCCATCTTTCCAGACCTCCGAAAAGAATGCACACTACTTAAATATGCAAAGGTTTGCAGATTTAACTGCCAGAAATGTTTAAATGCCAGACCATGGGGCTCAGAGATATCGTTTTACTATGAGAAAGGAGCCTGAAGGAAAAAGCACCATACATATTCCTATTGCATATTATGAGATTAACCAAGAAAAATTTATTCTTGCATTCAGGTATTGAGGAATGCAGTGAAAGGTCATATGGGCGTCATATCATTTATAATGTCAGTATAGAATACTTAAATCTGTCCCTTTGTGTTTAAGACAAACATTGCTGATAAATTTTATTAGTTGACTTCTGGCACAACAGAATTGTTGTGCCAGAACTTACAAAACATGCAGTCTTATAAGGGAACTTATATGAAGCTCCAGTTACTGGTACAATTAATGGGTAATACACAGAGAATACAGAATTTATTAGTCTTAATATGGATTATAGATTAGATATTAGTAGGAAATATTTGGATTTTTGTAATTCTGGGAGATGAATTAACATGAAGCAACACACTGGTAATACTTACCATGAGGCATACAATTATTGCTTTTATATCTATCTGGATACGAACAGAAAATTATTAAGAAACTTATTTGTGTTCTGAACTCAAGGTTAGTTTCAACAGAGATAACACAGCTGTTTAGTGAATAAAATAGATATGTAATTGCTAATGAAATGGCTCTCACATACCATCATATTACTGCTAGAGTTGAATATTACTGCAACATTCTTTATTCATGGGCCACTACCAAATGTCCCCTGTTGAAAAGACATGGTACCACATTCAGATTTACAGCAGCCAGAGCTCTGCCCCAAACCAGACCCTCATCATCATGGGGTTCACTGTGCTGAGATGAGCACAAGGGGAATGGACATGGCACCTGCAAATGGACACAAAGGACTCCACCAGTTGTGCAAACTGCTTGATGTTTATGCCTGATACACGCATAAATGATGCCAGGAAAAGGAGCCCACTTAGAACTGCAATCAAGAGTAGCTCAAAAAACAACAAAAGCCACTGATTTTAATGCCACAGAGCATACAGCCATCCAAAATGCAGTAGTCATCTAAAAAGAGAAAATAAAATCTGTTACTGGCTTAACAGGCTTATTTTATTTCCTGTATGTTGTAAAGATCCTAAAGGTTACCAAAGCACACCCTCACTTTTTCTGTAAAACACACACACTTGCAGCCTCAGCTCTCTGCTGAAAAGAATAGGTGTGTTTCACAAATCTCACTGGAGCACAAAGTGGTAGGGTACCAACTGGTTCTTTTTCACAGATGTGTATTTTCAGGTCAAATCATATTCAGCTTTGGCCCTCCATCAGTCCCTCTTTCACATCAATGTCAACTGTCACAACAACAGCAGTTACTTCCAGTTCCTTCTAACATGAGAAGAACAATCCCCCATCACTCCGTCAATGTCTGCAGATGAGAGAGATGAGCAGGATTCAGGAGGCTGGTATAGTCTGACCGAGTACACAGAGCTACTAGAATAGTCTCTCACCCTCTCTGAAAAAGTGGAGCTACTTCTCCAACACCATACCTTTGGAAACATTTTTGTTTGTTTGTTTTTGATATGCAGTACATGCCAACTGGGTAGCAGATTTGGATATTGCATCTAATTCCTGTCCTCTTGCATAGGCATGTAACTCCAAAGCACATCACACAGAGCCTGTGAAAAATGTCTTCAGAAGAGAGGAAATGCAGTTTAGGTGCAAAAAGATTATGCTTCTCTGTTTATAGCTGGAGGCAGACATGAAAACTGTGTTCAATCCTTAAACGACTGCTCCGAGGAGATGCAGGTCCCCCCTGCACAAAGATGATGAGGTGCTTTTAACAGCTCACCTTGTAAGTGGCTCCCCTTGTTTGTTCTCTGGTGGTCTCTGAGTTGAGCAGCACAGCTGCCTAGTGCAACCTGAGCTACCTGAAGGGACTGGCAGAAGTGACATGGGAACTATGTGATACTCGTGCAAAGTGTAATATACAGTGCATCCTTTCCCAAGCCCCAAAATCCCTTTACATCTGTGACAGCTCCCAACTTTATCCTTTTGTTGTGTTTATAGAGGCTGAAGACAGTATTTCCATAGCTCCTAGGTTTGCAACAGCTCCCATCGCCACCACTCTGGTACCAGCTCTCTGCTCTTCAGAACAAGCTGTACTGGGAGCTGTACAAGGGAGGCAGAAAGGTTGCTATTTCTGACAGTATGACATACGTTTTTCCACCAATTTCAAAACGAGTGAAGCTTTATTTCTGCCCAAGAGTATAAACTAATAATTTAGTCACCCCCACTACCCCTCAAAAATAACTCCTTGGAAAATAATTTTAAATACAGCAGGTAGAGCAGTTTTGCTGAGGGGGGGATGAGACAAAATACAGCTAAAACAGTTAAACCTGCTGTCTAAAATTAAGTTTAGTGAGTCTTGCCACATATTGCTAGAAAGCATGTTACCTGATGGCATTCATAAACAAACCAAATTTGAGAGATCAAAATCACCTTCCAAGCTCGCTCTGCATCAGGGGAGTATGTGGATTTTAATATTTCAGAAGACAGCTCTCACCAGCCTGCTTATTTCTAAAAAGTCAATGCATATTTTTAAAAATTCACTTCACATCTGTTCATTGTGTACCAGCCTGGAGGCAACCACCAGCCAGAAAACTTTGATCACCCAGCAGAAGCTAGCCGGTGGCTGAAAATCACAAGAGGATTGTCTCCATTGCCTTCCTCTCAAATGTGTTATGAAAATAAGAACTTCACTAAAAAAAGTTTGTATGGAGAAAAACATCTTGCAGTTGCAATGCCATCTGAATGCTATTAGAATCATAGAATAGTTAGGGTTGGAAAGGACCTTAAGATCACCTAGTTCCAGCCCCCCTGCCATGGGCAGGGACACCTCACACTAAACCATGTCACCCAGGGCTCTGTCCAACCTGGCCTTGAACACCGCCAGGGATGCAGCATTCACAACTTCCTTGGACAGCCCATTCCAGTGCCTCACCACCCTCACAGTAAAGAACTTCTTCCTTATATCCAATCTAAACTTCCCCTGGTTAAGTTTTAACCTGTTACCCTTTGTCCTATCACTACAGTCCATACTGAAGAGTCCCTCTCCAGCATCCTTGTAGGCCCTGTGCTGCTATGTAGTTGAAGCAATAAGACAAACTGGCTGAAATATTCTCCATTTACAACCACACAATTCTCTTCAAAGATTCAAGAGCCTGTCTCTCCACTGGGGGGGGTGGGGGGGTGGGGGGGTGGTATTAAACAGAGTCCAAGAAAAGAAAGAGTATGAAGAAAAATTCAATGTACATTGAAGTGGAAAATCAAATAGTCCTGCTTGTGCCACTTTGGTTGTCACAAATTCCCATTTATGTGGCAAATACCTGTATAACATTTTTGAGCTCCAAATTCATGGTCACAGACCCATGTGCAGCAGTCAATAGATGATTGTACATTTCCAGTTTTCACATTCACCAATTCCATCAATTATGTCTCGTCCAACTCCAAATAAACACAACAGTAGGTAACACTTAACCACGTGCTTTCCACAAATAAGCTGTTAATCATCAAATACTGAACATGAAATAGAGTATACAATATCCCTTAGCAAGGATTTGAGGATTATCTCATCTAATTAGATATAAGCATGTTTTCTAATCTGTGGGCTTAAGCCAAAACCCAATAAAAAGATTTCCATTGACTTACACTGAGGGTTGAATCAAACACTGGAAAAATTTGATTTTGCAATTCAAACAGAAAGAGAGGTTAAACGAAGAAAAGATGAAGAAATAAAAGTGGTCAACTGAGTTAAATCATCTGGCATAGAAATAATGGACTGGACATCCCATATCCCTGCTAGGGTAATCTTGAGGGAGACACTGCTGAGACTTCCTGAATTCCTTTGATGCCATCCAAGCATAGCAATCCAGGCAACTGCTGGTTTTCAAACTCCTAAAAGCAGAGGAGATTCTAACACACTAGAACATGGTTTATTATTTGTATGACCGCATGGTGTGTGCAAACACCTGCCAAACATGGATAAAGACGTTATCAAAATGCAAATAATGCTACTGAAAATTGTCAAATATTCGAACCAAGAGCTAACTTAAATTGCATAAACCTAGCCCCTAACCAATCTGTAACTGTTTATTATATAACTGTGAATTGACATTTGTTAGCTACATGTTTACTTTGTTTTTAAATCATTCTAACAACAAAACATTCACGTCAGCTCTTGGGAAGTTATTCCACTAACAGGGATCTCTTACCATGCGTTAAAGTTTGTATTCCTCTTTCTCATTATTTAAGGATAAGTAATTATTCTGCCAGTTCATCTCATTAAAAAAAAAAAAAAGCTATTTTCTTTGGCTGTCTGCAGTAGGATGTCTCTGCTCCCTTGCCTTGAGTCTCACTGGATTTGTGCAAGGAAAGAAGGAACATTAGGAAAATGAAAGTTAATTTCACAGATCATATCCATATGCCACTATTCAAGAAATTTGAAATAAGCAAAACCATGAAGTAAGGTTAATAAATATTACTACATGCTTTTTGATTATCTGCTGCATAGCACAAGAGCTAATTATTCCAAGAATATGACTATTTGAAAATTGTTCAATTTAACATGAAATGAATTATCATCACATTTCCATGAGAGAATATGTATTAATGTTCAATTGGGTCTGAATCAGTTGTGGAACAGGTGAGAATAAACTGCTGCATATCCTGACTGAAGGTTCAAAATGGTATTTTAATGAATTAAGTACAGATTCATTTGTATATGAAATCACCACAATGGCCTATTTGGGTCCCACTCAAATTATATTTCAGAAATTACTGTATGTTATTGGATTGCTTGCTCATTACCAGTCACGTCTGTGCTGGCCAAGGACCAAAGCAGTGTCCTTCCACAATGCAGCTATCTGATGCTGATAAGAACGACTATCTAAATGCAATTAGTAATTGCTATTAAATCTGAGTATAAGCCACAAGCACTTCCCTTCTCATTTCACTTTGCAGTACATCACCATTTGCTTGTTACAGTGTCTGTAAAGCAGTAATTCGTGGAGTGGTTCAAAGAGTATTAAAAGAGCTAGCTCACGAGGCCTGATTCTTTCCACTTGAACACTTGCGCAGAATGGAGTTGTGTCAGCTGAGGTCTATGTAACAGTGGATCAGGCTCAGTGAATGCAACACTTCCATCCACTACACATGCTCACAGACACCTCTGCTCTAATTATTATCATGCTGCCAATCTGGCAGGACTGAGCTGAGGAATGGCACCTCTACCAATGCTTTTCTTGAGGATTTTGTCTACTATCTCTCATTAACTTGATGATGAAACACAACACTGTAAGACATGTGCAGATAAAGCTCAAATCTGCACTATCAGCTGTATAAACCATCCTACAATAAAGTGCATTGTTGATAAACACTATGACAGTGATTGCTGGAGCATGCAAAATCTGTTTTGCTCCTGAGATGCAGCTTAAATTACTCTACATTCACAGACTGTGCATTCTTACATTCACAGATTGTGTATCCCTGAGTCCATCTATTTTATGTAGTTCCCTGGAATAAAGAAGAAAATTGTCAGAAATTTAACCCAATAAATCTGTCAGCTACAGAAGGTGAAAGTCACCCCAAAGGTGAAAGTAATTGCCAGATGCTCCAAGTCCTCATTATATCCACAACCACAGTGTTTCAGCACTCTGGCTGGCCCCTGTGTTGCTCTTCCACGTTGCCAAAGTGCTCTGGCTAGTGTCAAAGAGCATGCACCTAAGGCCAGGTCCTCAGCTGGTATATATCATGGCATTGCTCAAATGGCTTCAGGGTCTGTTAGCCAAGGCTCTGTTCTATACAACCTAGCTGCCAAGATCATGAAAAAGCTCTTTTATTTCTGAGCAGGTCCTGGTTTTGATAGCTAATTAGGAACTATTTCACATTCAAAAATCTCTACTGACCACTCTGCTACAATTGGATCATTCAGAAATATTTCTTAGGCTTATTTTTTTTTTTTTTTTTAATTGGCTCATTTATTTTTCTCAATTGCTTCCCAGTTCTTCTCTGTGGATTGCTGTCTCTACACATCTCTCTGCTTCTCAGAGGGAGTTATCCCATTCATTTTGGGCCATTTCCCAGTCATGGAATTCTGCTTCAGCTGTCACTCATGTCCTCATTTTCACTCTTATCTCCCCTTCTGCTCTCACGTTTCCACAAGTAAACAAGCAAAATTCCACTTCATCCACTTCTAATACATTCAATATTAAATTAAGACAGAAAGAGAGGAGATTCCAAAGGCAGCACCAAATTTTTATGAGGCTTTCTGTGGTCTTTTTACCATGTTCTCATTAAGAAGAAGCAAAAGCAAGAAACAGAAGTCTAGTGGATGTAGCAGTGGAAAGCAAAAGTGATTGAAATGGCTCAATTAAAAAAAATAAATTATTTTAGGCAATGGTTGAACAGATTGCTTACTGGGCATATAGTTCAATTCTGGCATTAAATTCTCAGGCCTAGTAAGCAAAATGGCTGTGTGAATCCCACAAAACTAAGACAGTATGAGTCATAAATAAGGATAAAATCTCCAGTACCAATAGCAGTTATTGTACAAGAATTATACTGTGAGCTGGTTCTGAGCTTTCCTTGTCTCTTTCTGAAGAGTTTTCACTGATGTATCTTCTGAGAAAAATAATCTAACCCATGCAGTAAATGCAAAGGTAAAATGTATAAACAAAAGACAACTGGGACCCCAGTTCTCTTCACACACATCTGTATACACAGATGAAACTGCAGATAGATAACACCCATTTAACCAAGAGAAGAATCTGAATTACTGGATACATCCAAATCTAATTTTCATTTTTACTCCAACAATTAACAAACAATTTAAAGAAAATATCCAATATAGAGCATATTCTTTAGGCTCATCTTTTATACCACAATATTATAATAAAACACTTTCCCTTTTCTCCTTTTCACTTAAAAGCAATAATAATCTACCCTTAAAAAATATTCCCATTAGGACCACTTATGTGAGTCCTTAACTTTAAAAAAAAAAAAAAAAAGTGGGGGGGAAAACCTAAAAGAATCCTCAGAATCCAAGCAATAAAGTGTTATTACTGCTTTTTGCCAGGGCTGAATGCCCTTTACAAAGTCCTACTTCAATTTTTTTCTAGCTCAGTTTTATAAATGGGAATAAATAAATAAATACAGAAATAAATTCTTTTCCAAAGGTCATGAAGAAAGAATGGATTAGCCCATGGTTTAAGCATCAGATTAGATCTTAAAACATGGTGGCTCTGCCACTAAGCCTCTTGTGCAGCCTTGCACCAGTCACTTAACACCATTTTATTTTCTACACACAGGATTAAAAAAAAAAACAATACCAGCATGCAAGATATGGGAGAAACTGCAACCATATGACAGAGAAGCAGAAGTGCCAAGAATAAAATTCATGCTTTTGACTCACACGCATCTATTTTATGGACTAGATTCCTTCCTTGTATGAGCTTAAGCATAGAGTTCAAAATACAGGATCCTTCCAGAAACACTAACACATTGGGATAGCAATTAAGAGAAAAGCCTATTAAATAAGACAAGCAACATTTTCTAAAAGAGAAATTCATACAGCCTTGCACTTTCCTAAACAGTTTCTTACATTCTCATAGTCATTAAAATGTATAAAAATGATTATTTCCAAAACAGCATTACTATGAATTATCACCACCCCTGTTGCCTAGCAACTAGAGTAATTTTTGAATAGTGAGCTATACAAACCAGTATCTGGAGTTTGTGTAAATGGGTATTCATTTGAAGATTTAAA